GGATACATGCTAGAAGGGCTGAAAAGTATAACATGTCTAATGCTTGTGTGGCAATGACACTGGTGATTCCATCTTTGTCTTTTCCCTTCCTGGCTTAAAAGCTAAGTATTTTGGACACAGGAGCATATTCCTACATATGTTTAAGTGCAAGAAGCAGTCAAAAAAGATATGTGAAGGCGGCGACTGTAGCTCAAAGGAGTAGGGCGTCGGCCCCATATACCAGAGGTGGCAGGTTCAAACCCAGCCCCGGCCAAAAAAAAAATAAGATATGTGGATATGTAAATAAAATCTTCATATAAATAATGTACTCCCTATTCATTCACAGCAATAAGGCACCATGGTATTCTTGACACACTTAATCTCTAATTCATTCAAAGTTACACTTGATCAGCTGCTTTCTAAAAAAGAAGGAAAGGGTGGCACCTGTGGCTCAAAGGAGTAGGGTGCTGGCCCCATATGCTGGAGGTGGCGGGTTCAAACCTAGCCCTGGCCCCCCCCCAAAAAAAAACTGCAAAAAAAAAGAAGGAAATAAATTTAATATTAACATTACAATAAATGTAATTTTCTTTAATTCTGAGATCTGTTTGGAATCCTAAGCCCACGTCGAGGTTACCGTTTGTAATATTTATCACCAGAAAAAAATTAGTTTATTATCCTTTCCACTAGTTTGATTGTGAAAAAATAGAAATTAATTATATTTGAACTTTAAAAAAAAAGAAAACACAGGGGGAAATTTCACGATCTTGGATTTGGGAATGAATTCTTCAACACAACACCAAAAGCTCAAGTAACAGAAGAAAAATCAGATAAGCTGGGGTTTATCAAAAGTGAACACTTTTGTGCACAAAAGGACACTACCAAGAAAGTGAAAAGATCACTCCCAGGATGAGATAAAAATATTTCCATGCTATGTATCTGATAATAGTCTAGTTTACCCAACACGTAGAGAAGTTTTCTAACTCAGCAACGACAATAAAAAAAAAACTAAACAAATTAAAAATGGGGAAAGGATTTATGTGGACATTTTTCCCAAAGAATTTGTATAAATGGACAAAGAGCATATGAAAAGATGATCAACATCATTAATCACTAGGGAAATGCAAATCAAAACTATAAGAAATACCACTTCTCACTTGACAGGACCTCTATAATCAAACAAGTATTCAAACAAATAATTGTACATAAATGTTCATAGCACGTATACCCTTTATATTACATTGTCAAACATTTTGTCCTGCTCATTAACTGTGATTAAAATTTTTCACTTATAAAACAAAAACCATGCTACATTTGGACTCATACTGTATACTGAAATTAGTGCAGGTAATACAAGTAGGACTTTAAACATGACTTAAGTAAATAAAGCCTTACTTAAATATGACTTTAAGTGAGACTTAAAACATGACTCATAGCATGTCACCATTCCGATATTTAGGTCTCATGGTAAGTTATATCTCTTTAGGATAACTGTAAGACAATCCAAGCCAGAAGACCGATGAAACCCCATATTACAATTAAAATAGCCAATTTCTGCCGAGCAGGTGGCTCACGCCTGTAATCCTAGCGCTCTGAGAAAACAAGGCAGGAGGATCCCTTGAGCTCAGGAAACCTGAGCAAGAGTGAGACCATCTCTGCTAAAAACAGAAAAATTAGCCATAGTGGCTCGCGCCTGTAATCCTAGCACTCTGGGAGGCCGAGGCAGGTGGATTGCCTGAGCCCACGGGTTCGAGACCAGCCTGAGCAAGACCGAGACCTCGTCTCTAAAAATAGCCAGGCGTGTGGCAGGTGCCTGTAGTCCCAGTTGCTTGGGAGGCTGAGGCAAAAGAATCGCTTAAGAGTTTGAGGTTGCTGTGAGCTGTGACGCCACAGCACTCTACCAAGGGCGACAAAGTGAGACTCTGTCTCAAAATAATAGAAAACTTAGCTGGAGGTTATTGCTCACGCCTATAGTCCCAGACACTCGGGAAGCTGAAGCAGGAGGATCACTGGAACTCAGGACTTTGAGGTTGCAATGAGCTAGGCTAAGGCCATGGCACTCTGCCGCTCCCCCCGCCCACCCCCCTTACTAAAATGCAAAACAATAATAATAATAATAACGTTCTCCATCAAAGAACACATTGAGAAATTCATAAATTCTTACACAGAAGTATCCTGGAGTCAGAAGTGAAGAGGGTGCCCTGGACTATTCTTCAAAGCGAGGACAAGAGTGGGAACAGAAGAGCTGGTTGCGGGAGCTTTACCTGAGGCCGCTAGCTGGCGGCTGGAGCTATTGCAGTCTTGGAATCTGAAAAAAGAATGTGAGCAAGCGCAGTGGTCCAGTAGGGAGTGGTTGACTTTGCTAGGCTTGAAGTGTCTCTTGAACAAAAAGAGACACTTACGGGATCCCCAGGCAAGATGTGGGAACCATTGCTCCCTGGATAGGAAAAAAAGCCTGGGAAGAGCTCTGTGGCCTGGGCTCCCAGAACCTGCCCGGCACAACCTCCCAAAGCTGAGGCAACCTTGGAAACAGTCTGGGATCCATCATCAAAACCTTTCTCCAGCAAGGCGCAGTGGCTCATGCCCATAATCTCAGCACTCTGGGAGGTCGAGGCAGGTGGATTGCCTGAGCTCATGAGTTGGAGACCAGCCTAAGCCAGAGCGAGACCTCTGTCTCTAAAACCAGCCGGGCATTGTGGCCGATGCCTGTAGTCCCACCTACTTGGGAGACTGAGGCAAGTGGATGACTTGAGCCCAGGAGTTTGAGGTTGCTGTAAGCTGTGAGACCAGGGTACTCCATCAAGGGCAAAACTCAAACATTGTCTTTAAAAAAAAAAACAAAAACCTCCCCTTCCACCAAAAAGAGTTGTCTGTCAGTATAAATACACCAGTCAGGCAACAAATTCTTTGCCTTCTCCCATGTCCTTTCTTAGCCTTGACCCTGAAATAACCAAAGAGAGGGACAACAGACCACAAGTTATATACTTTAGAGAGAGGCCATTTTAATACCACAGTCAATTCTGCGTTGCAGGTGTTTTCTGTATGTAAAGTATAATGTCATATGTGAATAAACATGTCACACTATTAAGATAGTCACACTATTAAGATAGGGTCCTGGCTCAGCGCCTGTGGCTCAAGTGGCTAAGGTGCCAGCCACATACACCTAAGGTGGCGGGTTCGAATCCCCAGCCCGGGCCGCCAAGCAACAATGACGGCTGCAACCAAAAAATAGCCGGGCGTTGTGGCAGGCGCCTATGGTCCCAGCTACTTGGGAGGCGGAGGCAGGAGACTCGCTTGAGCCCAGGCGTTGGAGGTTGCTGTGAGCTGCGAAGCCACAGCACTCTACCCAGGGGGACAGCTTGAGGATCTATCTCAAAAAAAAAAAAAAAAGATGGATCTTGAGTGGCTAACTGGGCCTAAATTAAAAAACAACAACGACAACCAACCATTGCCTGACTAGAGGTCTCCTGGTACTCTGATTTGGGGAGCTATCGGAGCTCGTTTGAATTAACCAATCAGGGATCAGGTATACCAACCAATCAAGGCTCAGCTGTATCAACCAATCAGGGCTCAGATATATGGACCAATCAAGGCTTAGTTGTATGACCAATCAGGGCTCAGCTATGTCAATCAATCAGAACTAAGCAAGTTTGAATAGTTCATTTGCGTAAACATACTTTATTCGGAACCCAGGCAGGAACTTTTGATATAAAAAACAAACCCACTGTTCCCTAAAAGGCACCAGAGATAGGGCTTTGTTATCATAAGGCCAGCAATTCTGGGAGAGTAGCCTCTGCACGGCTGTTCTGCCCTTCCATTTCCTCCTTCCCCTAGTCCCCCATTTTGTTACCTGCCCTGCCATGTTCACCCTTCCTTCACACGAAAAAAACACAGCTGGAAATAAGCAAGGTATAAGTGCTTCTTTCAAATCAAAAGATTTTTCTTTTTTTTCTTTTTTCTTTTTTCTTTTTTCTTTTTTTTTTGTGAGACAGAGCCTCAAGCTGTCGCCCTGGGTAGAGTGCTGTGATATCACAGCTCACAGCAACCTCCAATTCCTGGGCTCAAGCAAGTCTCCTGCCTCCGCCTCCCAAGTAGCTGGGACTACAGGCGCCGCCACAACGCCTGTCTATTTTTTGATTACAGTCATCATTGGTGTTTGGCAGGCCCAGGCTGGATTCGAACCTGCCTGCTCAGGTGTATGTGGCTGGCGTCTTAGCTGCTTGAGCCACAGGCGCCGAGCCAAAAGATTTTTCTAGATCATTGCTCAGGAACCATCTCCTTGTTTCAGAAAGTGCTAAATCAAGAGGTTCCCCTTCTTTAATTAGCTGAACCAGTATTTTCTCAAGGATGACAACATACATTTTGAGATGTGACAGTCAACTTTTTAGCTAGGGAAAGCACAGTAATATGCTCTCCATGTGTTGTGTGTGGTAGACAAGAAAGGGAGAAGAGCCTTACTCTGACCTCGATGGATTATTTCCCTGTGTTTCCTTTAAAGGGCAGGATTCTCCCACAATTGCTTCCAGTCCCACGTCCCTTCCACAAAACGGGAGAGCAGAGAACTTATTTGGGGAACACCAGATAAATGCCTGGCTCCCACTTCTCCATACAGCCCTGTCGGTAGCCGGGTAGAGAGTTTCCCTCAGAGGCCAGTGTTGTGCCTGAGCTCATCAGCATGAATGCATCTCTGCCCCGCCTTGAAACACTGCTGTTCTCTCATTAAAGATGCACATTGCCCTATCTTGCACATGTATGTGGTCCCAGTGAGGCATGGGAGGTGTAAATGGGGGGGGAAATGTATGAGTCCGCCTAAGCCTGCCATGGGCACTTGGAAACTTCAGTGATGTGCACAGCCTCCTGATAGTGACTCAAGAATGTTACCACATGAAAAGAGGCCTCCTTGCCCTTTGCTTATATGGAATTTCTTAGCCATTTCCATCCATTACTTCCTAACCCCATGTAACACACATAACAAATGCACACAGCATTCATGTCTTTATTGAAAATTCAAAAAAACTGCCTTAAATATCATTAATGACATTGTAAATTTATTGAAAACTTTTAACAAGCATGTAACTGGTAAACTGGTCTTAACGGTGTGGTATGAAAAAATTTAATCTGGCACAAAAATTACTTAGGAAAAACTGTTGCAGATGCTATTTCTTAGAAAAACGGGGCTACCGAAGGACTGCTGATGACAAAGAACCAGACAGTGTCTCGTGGAGGGCTAACAGAAGGCAGAGACAGCATGGGCATAGGAGGCATGAACAGAGGAGGATATGCTGGGGGCATGATGGGTGGCAGCATTGGCGCTGGCTGCAGAAGAAGGTATCGCCCTTCATGATCATGGGTAAGCATGACAGGAGGCGGGACACTTGGTGACATCATGAAAGAGTGGCCCACATCCACGTAGGGCATACTTCTGAACACTGATGCCCTCTGGTGTCTTCTCCATCTGGCTCTCCTATTCTTAAACCAAACCTTCAATCAAAGAGAAAAAAGGCATTGCATTAGTATATTTAATGTCATAGTAGAAAAAAACATAACTGGTGATTCTATATGTCCTAAGGCTTTTTAGGTGTGTCGGAAGCTACTTCCTTATTACTAAAATATCTGAGCCCGGTTAATGCCACAGTCCTCCCTTAGTGAGCTCCAAGTACGTGCCTCGCTCTGGCTTGGCTTATCGCTTTGCCCCTCTCCTCCTACCCTTACTGGTAGTTTCTTTATCCACTGCCAGGTGCAGCTGCAGCCCATGAATTGGACTCAATCTCTGCTGTTACTGCTGATTGTGGTACGTCTGCTTCAGGACAGCTGCCCACCAGCTATCCAGCTGCCCCACCCCCTACTCACTAGGCAAGCGTCACCCTGGTTGTGGGGGAAGCAGAGCTTGGGAAAAGTAGGTGTCTTTTAAAGTCACACCAAGGCAAACCACCTCCGCTTTGAAAAGACCCTCTTCAACATATTGAATAGTAAAACAAAAGGTTCCCTCCAAGAAGGTCTAAGGGGTCATTCATCTTCGGAAACTTAGGAAGAGTTACAAAGATGGTATTGCAAGGGAGATCTGGTCACGGGAGTGCCAGGGAGTCTGTATCTGAAGCCCTGGACACTGTCTTGATACTCTAGTTTGTAGTTTTAAGGAAAATT